TCCCACGACTTCATCTCATTCTTGTAGCGAATCTTGTCATCCTCAGCGAGCTGCGTGTAGACCTGTTTCTGATGGCTGAAGAGATTCCTCCAGTCCTCCAACAGCGACTTCATCTTAGCCTGAGACGTCATTCCTTTAGCCTCCTCCTGTTCCGACATGAAGATGTTGAAAGGAGAGCGAGGACGTTTGGGCTTCCCCAGGACATAATGAGTTAACGAGCTAAGTCAAAACCTTTCGTACACAGTCAGAGAGAAGCTCTTGGTGTGTGTGACGATGTGCAATACCTCCAAACTGTTGATCCTTGCAGTTAGCATCCTCCGTGCTACGTTAGCTCTCCGCTGCCAGATGCTGAAATATGCATTTCTAAAACCATGTCAGTTTTCTGTTAATCTCCAACCTCTGTGAGGGAAAATATGTATGACCCGACCACTTGGTGCTGGCTGATTGCACTTGTCTAAATGCACTCGCTAACTTACCACCAAGGATTAACTTTAAAAACAGTGATACCAACCAAAAATTGAGAATGTTTACCTTTTAATATAAAATTTTAAGCTGAAATTAGTGCATTTTAAACGGAACAACTTTTACTTTCAAAGTCAGAGTCTTTAATACAAACTACAATCAACCACAGCAACCTGTTAGCAATAAAAGCAATCACAAGCAGCAGCACCATATACCTCTTTTTCACCAATTTCCCCCTCGCAAGCAACCTTCTGGAACCACCTGTCAGGCACTCGGGTCTCACCTCTGATTGGTTGTCTCTGTTTGTCTCGGGCCATAGCCTGACTGTTACTGGGGCTCTGCAGCCTGCTTTGCAACCCAGCTCCGCCTTTTCAAGCTGTGTGATTTCATCTTTGTTATATCTGCTGCTGCTATCAGTGCCTGCTGTGGTCTGTGTTGCGGGGTTTGCCTCTCTGTGGACGAGCAGGGAGGTCTCTGAACAGAGACATGCTGACAAGTATAAATTAGTGAAATGGAAAGAGAAGGAAATAACCCCCCTCTTTGTACTAACGTGGTCCTGACTGAACTAAAAATAATGAGTCTTACTGAAGCACAGTGAAAGATGAAATAGCAGATGCACAGAGGCTGAACTACACAAGCATCGGGCAGGAAAATAAAACACATATTTTCTAAGCAAAGATAAAGAAAGAAAACAGAGCAGGCCACTCGGGGCTCTTACTGCATCGTCAGATTTGCATTTCACATTCATAAAAACGGGTTAGATAAACTATATTGATCACTGTGGTGAAATCATCTTACCTCAGCAACACTGTAGCACGATCCAGAAACTACAAATGCAGTTATCAAAAACAATAAGAGGAATTTTCAAAGATTGCTACTGTAGGTAGAAATTCATATGTACAGGCCAGCAAAGGTATGCATAAGTATATGGAATATTAAAGAATAAGATTAACACTATAAACAGAGCTGACAATAAATTGGATCATAAAAATTTTATGCGAGTGGAGCTCTCACTTTTTCAGCACACTCAACACAAATGAGAAGTTGGTGGTCTATTAAAATAAAACGCAGGCTTCAGCTACAGATTAAAATACTCAGAGACAAATGGAGAATAACTGTTACGTGAATCCCTCGGTATTTGTGTGTATTTTTACTTTACGTCAAGAAGCATGAATAAATGTGCTGCTTGTTTTGTCCCGTCCTTGCAGACTGCAGCAGAAACAGTTCAGCTGCAGCTGTGAAGGGCGGCGATAAGGACGCTGCTGACAGGACAGGAGAAAAAACCGGAGAAATGAAATCAAACGGCCGAGCAAAGCCGCAGACCACTGAGTCTGCAGAGAGGTTATTTTAGAGGAATGACTGAGAGTGATGCCTTAAGAGGTTTAAAAGACCCAAAGGTCAGGACACTCCCCAAACACAAATGCAGTGTCACATTTCCCCCTTCTGCTACGAGCCTGCTATTACACACTGAGCTCGGGGGGGCGTCCCAGTACTGTACTCTCTTAAAGTACAGACAGAATTTCCTTGCTGTCCAAAGGCTGCATCATCAACCTGCAGCCAGCAACCTTTGAACTGGCAGAAGCTGATTGTTTTGGGACTAGCAGAAACAAATTTTAGGCACAATATTGATGTGACATCATCTTTTAATCCCTTAAGATTACAGTTATGTTCACATCTGTGCCTTTATATGGATACTTTCACATATTTATCTACCCAAATGTGACATTTTAGTGTAAAATGCATGTAAGAAATATCATTTTGTCCCTATTAGGAGCTGTTGTTGTTTAGCCT